CGGCCGAAAATGGATGTCATAAATAATACCAAAGGAGGACCCTTTGGTTGGTGAGGGGATCGAATCCTCGAGAAAAAGCATCCACCACCGCTCTCCCCCCCCCCCATCCTGCCTGAAACCGCCCCTGCACACAATCGAACATCATTCGCAGATTTGATTGAAGACCATTCAAAAACTTACCAAACCTCAAAATGGAAACAAGCGTCAACGGTGTTGCACTAAAATTACCGCGGTAGCGGCACTAAAATTAACATGACTTTTTAACCACAGTGGCACCGCCAAAAAGTTCAATTCAAAATTCAAAAGTTCAGTTCAAAAGTACGTATCTTCATCCACAAATAGAAGTGTAACGGTCATTTGCCAAAGCAATAAAAGATTGTGATTAGTATCTTTGTTGAGCTTGATTTAACGTACCCGATTTTGTGTTTAGAACATAGCTCTCCCATCCTTGGGGGGAGTTTGTTAGACTAGCAAAGGAAAAAAGTAGCAAATAGCCCAGAGGGTTTCGACTAACCAGGGTGATTATAGAGATTAAGAAAATTAAATGTTTAATTTTTTATATTTTAAAGAAGGATATTAATTTGAATAAAACAACTTTTTAGTAAAATCAGACGCTTGGCATAATATCACTTTTACACTAAATAATATTAAACGCTAAGATAATCGTTGGAAATTTTCTCGGAATTGAGGCCCCAGGAAAGCGTGGAAGAAAACTAACTTACGCCATACTTTGTTCCAACTCTTTCGAGAGTGTTTCTAAAAACAGGCTCACAAATTTAGCAGCCAGGAATAAGAAAATTATACTCACTTTATTTAACTTGTTAGTTGATATCGAGAAAAAAACAGCGAAAAACGACATGCCAGAATCAGTGAGGAAGAGCCCGAAAATAATTGACTCAAGCCAACGAAGCGAAACGCAGCACAACGAAATTAAACAGATGCAACCATCAAGTATGAACAAAATATACAAAACGTATTGCAAGAAAAGCATTCCGACACCGTTCAGTGGCGTGCGCTGAAATTTTTCTAGGGGAAAGGCGGTTTTGCGAATACAAAAATTTTATGAAAACATAATTCAGCCGAAACAAGCGACATTCTTCCCAAAACAAGGGTCACATAATTACTAGGTAGTCACCTATTTACTATTCCTACTAAGTTAAACCTTCTGTGAACAAAACTGTTTACGTGAAAAAGTCTTGTACACGATTGCAACACCGTAGCTAATCGCAAGTGTATTAACAACCATTGTAAAAAAAATGGTTTTTTTAAATCATAACAAACTCAACTCATCTCCCATTTAGTCCCGCTGTAAATTGGGCAAAAGTTTTTGTATTCAGACCAACCTTTTTCAAACCTGGCAGATTTGTGGGTGACATCTGTAACTTTTTTATTCGTACTAACTTAGAAGTCGCTTGAAATTAAAACAACATACAACTGAGTTCCTTCACACTGGTCACAAAAAAGTTAAAATTAGTACCTCGATTTACTGTCTGATTAATTCCAGTACTCGTCTTGTTGTTCAAACTTTGGATGAAAGGTACGGAATATTTGCACATGTAATCGGATTCAAAAGCCACTCACGCGTTAATTGCATGAAGGATATAGCACGTTAATTGATAGCAGTTAACCCAAACTGATCGATTTGGGAATTTTCAAGCCATTTTTGAATTTGAGCTGAAGATATCTTTTTTTTAAAATGTTATAATAAAAAAAATCCTTTCAAAGTAACTATGAAAAGTTCTTTTTTCATCCAGAAAAAAAACAGTCAGAACATGTTGCTAACTGCAGTGAAGCATGCTATCTGTTCTAACTAATTCAATTCTGTATGTCAAATTTATTTCTTCAAATTTTTTCTGAATTTTTCAAAAATGCAGTTTGGCCTCGTAATGTAGAATAAAATCGAATTTTACTGCAAAAAAATTGAAAGTCAATTAGAAAATTTGTCAACATGTCCAAATTCTACAAAAACTTTAATTATGCTGAGAAAATTGCTTTTGATGAGTATTTTTTGGAAGAGAAAACTTTTTGCTATTGAAAAGGGACCTCGATTAATTGCATCAACCTTACAATCCGTCCTAATTGACCTACCGTAGATTTTCGTTCACAAGCCTGTATTAATTCTTAAGTTAGTTTTGTATAAAATATGCATCTCCTCCAACATACGCGCAAAATGTTTTTTTTTTGAATTTGTTCATTAAACTTTTTTTGATGAGCTACATCGACGTTTTAAATCGATATTTGATTTAGGGTCGATAATTTAATCTGTTATGCAAGTGATATGACATTTTCATTGAAATTATCTTGTGAAAAACTCGTATTTTTCCCCTCCCATTGAACTGGTTGGGTGGGGGTAGGGGGAATTGTACATTTAATTCGATGAAGTTGGTTAAAACAAAAAAAAATCCAAATTGGAAACGGAATTCAATGAAAGTAAATGGAGCGGAAAATTTTTCACAATTATAACGAAAAACCATTAAAAAAGGACTGATTATAATTTTTTCGTGCTTTCTCCGCACTCCATATCTCCTGTCGATAATGCACTAATTAACCAACCTGATACAAATAAATTTTTCATCTTGAGAAAATTGATGAACTTTAGATGTAGCTCCAGATCAACAATAAGTTCAATATAGGACTCCTTGCTGCTCATCAACATGAACAGAGGCAGGGCTGCTTGGATTAATGACATCTGGAACTCCGGCCCACATTTAGTCGTGTGGCTCTGAATGGATCTGATGAGCAGTTTGAAATCAAAGTTGTCGTCAGGCAGGTCACTGAAACATTAGAAGACTGATAACGTCTTTGATAATCTAATACTGCATCTTAGTTCTTACTTTGCTGGGACATTATTTTCGCTTTATTTTTTAAATGCTGAAGTACAACAAACTCACCTTGAACTCTGGCACTTCATTTATGAGTTTTGATAACAGTAGAAGTGCTTCTAATCTCCATGTTGTGCTAAATGGCACTGTTTATAATCTTGGAGTAGATGCAAATAACTTGATCTTTTAATTGATCCTAAATTTTCATTTCACAATCAGATACAAAAAGTTCAATCAAAAATAGGTAAATATTGCGCGCTTATTTCAAAAACGAGACATTTCAACCCAAAATCACTGCTGTTTAAATACTTAAATTCAAACGCCAAACCACAACGCAATAATGATTGTTGGTTCATGATGGTGACTTACTTCAAAAAAATGAGAGCATCTCACAAACAATCTAATTTTCGTACATATGAGCACTCATTCTGTAAGAATGAAAAAAAATCCTGCTTGCCGACTTATTGAGGTTAGTGATCTAGAACTTTCAATAATTCCCCCCCCCCCAAAAAAAATAAAACCTTTGGTTAAATGATTGATATCAGAAGCTCATTTGATGTGCTATCAGAAGATCCTAAAAATCGTAATTGTTGTAAAATATAGTGTTTTCAAACTTTTTTTAATTAAGTTTTCAAACTGCCTTCGCATAAATTGTATTGTGCTAGCGTCGTAGTAAAAATTAGCAAGGTTGTAAGTTAAGATTTCTCATCAACGTTAATTTTTAGAATTGTTGAGAATTCGTATTTTAAAAAATGTTTCAATTTTTATAAGTTTCAACTGAGCCAAGATTATTCGATAGTGCATCTGAGCGTAGCATCGATTATTCGATAGTGCATCTGATAGTACAAAAAACGACACTAATTTGAAGAACTTTGATTTGTAGCTTTTGTGAATATGGTCGGAAATTCTGTGGTACTTGCGCCGCAACCGGCTATCCTTGTTTTCAATATGAAGTATTTTTCGGCTTTAATGTAGCTAACTTTGCTGTTCCACAATCGTGAGAACTTGATGCAGCTTTGCTTAAATTGGTACTATTTTCAACTGGTTCTAAACATGTTTCAACTGGTATTAAAGATATTTCAACACAGAGACTAAGCGGAGCTCCGCGCCACTTGCGATTAAACACACCTAAAAACAAGTCGAAAACATGGAAAACGTTGGAAAGTTCTACAAAAAATTAAATTTCCGTTTGTCTCGATAAAAATTCATTCTACGCTAGTTTGGCAGAAATTTGAGTATTACATAAGAAAGGGAACAAAACTTACGAAGAGGAAACAAAGCCAACAATCTTTGAGCAGGCACAAATTAAGCAGGAAAAATAAAATTTCATGAAGAGTTTATAGTTTTGAGTCCCACCTGAGACTATAATGAACAACATTTGCACTTTTAACAACAACTTAAATTGCCAACAGCACGAGAAAAAAATAAGCCGACTAATCTTTAAGCAGACACCTGTTGAGTCGAAAAAATAGATTAAAAGAAATGTAAAAAGTATCAAGTCCACCTCCTGGCTCTACAAAGAACAACACTTGCACTTGCAATGAAATTTACTTATAGGACAAACAAGATATGTGATATGGCCCAGACTTTAGGGTACAAAGGCCAACCCGACTTTAGGGTACAAAGGCGAAGGCGTTAACCCTAGTCCAAGTGGAAAGGAACCTGGATGTTGCGAAGGTTCAAAAAGAAAGCAAGTTGAAGAAAAATTAAAACATGTAAGAAAAGTTGTTTACTGGAAAAAGTCTTGTTCCCGATTTCAAGAAACTTGCTCTGGCAAGTCTAATAATACCTGATTTTAATACATTTTGTCAAGTACATGTTATTTTGTTAATACATGATAATACACTTTAAGAAAATTATTTGAAATAAAATTAACACCGGAAACGGACAATACCTGAAGATAGTTTATTTGAATTTTCAAGAAATTGAGCATGTCTGAAATTAACGGAGGTAGTTTTATTTAAATTTTCAAAAAATTGAGCATGTCGGAAATTTATAGCCTAAAACTAATTACGGGAAAAAAGTCTAGTACCCGATTGCAATACCCTTGCTTTTTGCCAGGGTAATTACCTTATCGTGTTCTCAAGTACCTATTGGTACCTTAAGTTATATTGATCTGTTCGCAACAAATTGATCTCCTGGAGTAAAACACTTTTTATAAGCAATTTAATTCAACAGTGAGTAAAACAAAAGCAAGCTTCAAGTTAGTTTCAAGCAGTTAGTTTTAGAACTCTTCTAAACTTTCTCTGTCTAGCACGGACCAAGCCCAAATCAAAACACCTGTCTCATATTCTGATTGCCTAATGCAACCCGATCATCAATCAGTCAAACGCCAAGTCAAATTCTAACTCTCTAGAGCGGCACTTCATTTCTTGGCAAGTACTATTTCTCTAGAACACCAGTGAGTTGCACAACTCATGCGATTAGTTCAAAATTGAAAGCACCCCATATTCAATTTCAGTACAGCGTCACACTCTTAGAAGTTCCAGCGTTTCCATGCACTCATCGTAATATCCTTCAACGTCCAGTGCAACTTTGTTCAACCGATCCATCAACTCTGTCAACTTTTCGTCACTCTTATTGAAAATCGCTGAGTTGCATGACGATTTCAGCAATAGTCTCGTAACATGAAGAAAAATGTCGTCATCTTCGATGTTTAAAACATCCACAACCCATTGGTCGAGAGACGCTAGCACATGATTGGCTGAGACGTGGACCAGTAACTGACAGCAGAGAACTATCGATTTGACTTTCGGGTTAGCATTGACAGTAGCATTCGTCTTGAGAAAATTGATGAACTTTAGATGTAGCTCCAGTTCAACAATAAGTTCAATATAGGACTCCTTGCTGCTTATCAACATGAACAGAGGCAGGGCTGCTTGGATTAATGACATCTGGAACTCCGGCCCACATTTAGTCGTGTGGCTCTGAATGGATCTGATGAGCAGTTTGAAATCAAAGTTGTCGTCAGGCAGGTCACTGAAACATTAGAAGACTGATAACGTCTTTGATAATCTAATACTGCATCTTAGTTCTAACTTTGCTGGGACATTATTTCCGCTGTTTTGGCCAAAATTTCTGCGCCGCAGGCATAATTTTGAATAAGCAAGCTGAAAAATTGCGTTTTTTCGGCGCGCGCACCCCATCAATATTAGTATATATTGGTTCCCAAGGCGCCTTTAGAAAAATTTTAGGGTCCGTCACCAAAAACGGATATCTCAAAATAGTGCAAAGAATATTAAGAAAAATATTAAGAAACAGAAAGCTTTGTTGTTAATAGTGACTTTTAGTGACCATTGAAAAAATAGTGACCAATTAGTGAGCAATAGTGACTGGTCACTAAAATAGTGACCAAGTGGTCACCCTGAGTGCAATAATAAAAATTACAAATAGACCTCAAATTAGTTAAAATTCTACTAGCTCTAAGATTCAAGCCTGCGACCTGGAAATTAATAGTCTCTAACACCAACCACTCAGCCACAGAAGCTAATAAGAACCAAACATTAGCCACAACTAAAGCCACAAAATTCTCAGATAATTAAACTATTTGCAACGCTGCAACCATGTTTACGACACCTTCGTTCTAAATTGGTCGCAACTTACATGGTAACCAATGTGAAAAGTTGGAAAATGGGATTTTTCACTACATCCGATCCGTTTGTGCACTTACTCGGTCTCGCAGAGGTATGTTGACATCAGCTTCCACGCATTGCACACCAGAACCCAATCTCTCCTTATGTCTCCTTGTACACTTTCCTCGCCCCCTGAACCCACAGTGGTTGTGAGAAAGAATAACAGACTGAGGCTCATGGTCTTGTAGCTGTCGAACACAATCATGAACTCATCTGGAGAGGCCAACTCCACCCTTCCTCCACATATATCGTCCAGAGCGGACTCCAGCGCAGACAAGAGACATGACAGAGAGTCATTTGAGAGCACCATTGATTCCCCTTAACAATCATACATATTTTTTATTTCAGCTTTGAAAGAGAAACGGCGTCAACTATAATGCAGTGACTTCCATTAAGTGACAATAAAATGTGTTCATTCTGGATTCAAACTCCTGTTTCTTATTGAAACAGATTTGATTAGATGCGCTTATTAAAACTAAAACCATGAATCAGGGTGAGATTTTGATGAAAAATAATTTGGATCGGGATCAAAAGAAATGGACAGTTCTTACCATTTTGATCTTGCTGCTTCTCTAGACACATTCGCACTTCAACACAGCTCAGTGAGAACAGGAGAGGGAACGACACTTGAGCAGAAGTGAACAGATTCTGCACGTGTTCTGTGCCCTTTACAAGCATGCATGCACCAATGTAGCCCAGACATCTCTGCCGAGACAGCGGATCCACCGCAGCTGACAACGCCTTGATGGCCCACGTACAACACACGTCCAGATTGTCTTCCTCGCTATTTCTAAACAAGGAACAGTCAGCTCTGGCAAAAATTGTTGATATGTACGAATCGCGATCCATTGCAAGCTTTATTTAATTCCCATAACATAAATAAGCAAACTATGCTGTCAAATATAAATCTGAGATCATATGCAAAAAAAACACATTTATGTATACCGCTCTTTTGATTTGATACTTGGAGGGGAAATCAGGTTAGATCGAGTTCTCTTAAGAGACTAAACTTTATCTAAAATTAAGTTTCACTGGATTACCTGGATATGACCAGCAAAGACAAAGGAGAAATCAACGCAGCCAACTGAGACAGCTCAGCTCCCGAACAATTAGACGGAGTTTTTGCAACTGATTCATAGAACTTCATATACTTTTTTGTACATTGTACGGCAGCCATTTCCAGCAGCTGCTGAGACTCTTGAGATCCTTCTAGACTGTGGAACTTGAGGGCACTTTCTAGAACGTCGCTTTCACTGTTATTGTCAGAACCAAATATATTGACCATCGTCACCGACAATGACGATAGCTTCTGGACTATCGTCTTGGAGAGGGTCCCTTTAGTTGCATAATTGTACATCTGAGAAACAGCTCGCGGGAACGAGTCTAGAATCGTTATAGCTCCATTGGCGCTTGCCAGTGCAACAAATTTAATCAAAGTTTCGAGACATTCCACTGAAACCGATGAAAATTTGTTCGCATGCTCCAGAATTAATTTGGCTCCCGCCTCAACTTTGTCGGCTGAAATGACCTCATTTTCAGAGATAGACTGAATCATCAGGTTGATAGAAGCAATCAAACCACTATCGGCTTCGCATTTTGCTGTTGAATCGCAAGTCATAATAAAACAATCTTAAAAAGCAATCATAAAACTGAATCTGTTCTAGTACATGTATAGTATTTTTTATTATAATTTTAATGTGATGAATAGGAACTTCTTGAATTTATTTCATCGATATATTTTACAATATTTTACAAAACTTCAGAAATTTTTACATTATATTATATAACTTTTTACATTGAACGGACCAATGTGATGAAAATACAAGGACTGACTACAAAAACTTGACATTCAGGCAGGAGAGGGTGTTATGAGAATAGAATGTACCAAATATGCAATCAACAAATTGAGTAATAGCTTACCAGAAAGGAATGTGCTTGTTGGTCAAAATTGTTACATGTCTTTTCTCAGGGTCAACTATTACATAACAAACTGTTTGTACATGCTCGTCTTTCCAAGATGACGCAGGAAAAAAAGATTCCCCGTCTTCACTAGAGACTTCTTTGACCTCAAAAACTGAAGATGAGACCATCAGTTTATTGTTCTCACTTTTGTTTTTGTACACGCTGACAAGCGATTTGTAGAGTTGCTTAGTTACGTCCAAGTACGGTTGCAGTAAGTTCTCGTATTGACACAAAGATCCTCCGATGACTACCAATTGAAAGAGTCGGAACAGAAACTCGTTCCGGTCTTCATCCGAAAACAAGCAGTATTGATCGGAGTCCTCGTTCAAAAGTGCCATGTGTAGCTCAGTTTCACAATTGACGTCTTGAAATTTGTCTGGGAAACAGCCATTGATACTCCCGTCGGGCCTTACAGGAGCAATGGAGCCTTCTTTTAGAACATTGAACAGATCCAGGGTAGTGTTATTGCAGGTCAACTTTTCAAACTTAACTTTCACGATATCCTAAAAATATCAGGATAGCCTAGATTTTTCCTCTTCAAGACTTACACTTTTGCTTTAACCAGCATGAAATTATCTTGAAAAATAGTAAAACGCCTCGATAGTCAGAAAAATAGAATCAAAAGTTCGAGCTCAAATACTTTTTACAAAGTGGATCTAAATGCAAGTAAATCAAAAACACGTACCGAAAGTCCCCATAAAATATATGCGAACAACATACCGGCCCAACTAATCAAACGTAACTTTTCATTTTGATTAATTTTTTCAAAGTCAATTTTTTCATTTTGCACTCTAATTGCAAACCAACTTGCTTTACTGGAGAAAAAGCAACATACCAGGCCAGCAACTCCCAGAGATGCAGAGACTGCTTGGCTTCTCAAAAGACTGTAAATAAAATTTTCGATTTCATAAATTTGCATGGGCTGATCAAAATTGAACTTGTGCTTGCTCAAGGATCGATCCAAGCCCCATTTCATCAGAAGCTCTTTGTGTTCTGGACTTAGCTGTACGCCACTCTCTAGCAGATTGAATTGGAACGATTTTTCCATTGCTCTCTAGAAAAAACGATCCGCATATATACTAATTATATTACTGAAACAACAACGAAAACCAGAAGAGTTTTCTCTTCTCCAGGTTTGACTGTTGATCAGTCTCTCGTTCCTTCTATCATTGTTTTTCACAATCTACTTTTTCACATTCCACTCAACGGTGCTTTTGGTTTTAGATTTTTGACGACATATTTTTGATGACTGAAAGCTTTTCAAACCACTGATGTTTTTGTTCATGAACAACAAAAACAATTAAGATTTGATACTCTATCCTATTCCAATTCAGAATGGTTAACTCTGGAGATATGAACAAGAATCGGCAAATAAAACAAATAACAAACATTTGAGACAGCATGTTTTAATCAAAAAAAATCAAGACCACCACTTTAGCAAACCTAAGCCATCATCATCAATGCTTCCAATTAACTTGTATGGTATTTGCTCCTTTCCCGGCTCGGGATTCGTTGACGGAGGCCCAACTTCTGTGAAAATTTCATCAATAACTTTGAAACGTATTTGTTCGTCCAGATCGAAATGCAAATCAGCTCTGCCAGCATCTGTGTCGTAATGCCAAATCCACAAATGATCATCACCCAGTGTAGTCATCGGTCTCATTTTATCTGGTGGAATTAAGATGTCTTCAAAGAAACCAAGTGAGACATGAATTCCATCAGTTCCCGATGACTTTACTTTTCCTACAATGACTTCATTCATAAATGGTCGAAAGACAACATATCGAAAGTGCACTCTGACATGATAACCTCCCTCTCCGGCAAGAATATACGAGTCCTCAACGCCTGTTACATCGAAAAGGCAAATGCATAGGCCTAAATTAACTACGACTTTATTCGCAAACTTATTTTCTAGAATTGTTGAAACGACACTTAACTGATCTTGAGCGAATTTCCGAGATTCCACTTTTGCTATATCTTTTAAAGAACTAAGAACAAACATTCCTGAAAATCAAACCAAATCATATATTTCAAACTTACCCGCTATTCAAACTTACTTAGGCTTCCTGTAATCAAATGTCCCAATTTTTTTTAAAAAAAGTCCCATAAAGACCAAAAAACAAGGATAACCGGTTGCTGTGAGAGTAGCAGAATGTTCCGACCGTATTTATAATAACTACAAAAAAAGTCCTTGAAATTATAAAGTTCTTCAAAATAGTGTCGCTTTTTGTACTGGTGTGACACACGCGTAAAAAGCTACTACATAAGGCATAATAGACAACAGTTGAATTCAAAACAGAACAAGACTACTCATATAAGGGCGAAGCCCTGAATGTTACGACTGCCTTTCAAGGTCTATGGAGCATAGTAATAACATAAAAAAATTAAATATAATAAAATTTAATGCAATTTTTTTCCTCTAAAATTTGAGATTTTTGTGAAAAACATCATTCCCACACGCCATATAAAGTACCAAGTGACAGATTTTGCTGGTAGTAACAAATCAATTATGGCAAATAAGCTTCCTTCAACTAATTTGGAACGATTTCTAAGACGGATTAAATCTCCGCTTTAGGGTTAATAGCGCGAAATATATCGCGCGTTAACTGTCCCTAATGGGCCAAAATGGCAATCTTTAAACCCCCATAACTTTACGAAAAATGATCACAGGTGATTCTTTTTTCAAATTTAAGCTCAGGACAACAATACCTTTTACAATGTAATCAGAAGGTCAAAAGTATCATAGTAACCGAGGTTACAGTCATGAGTGCCTTCATCATGTATTCCAGTCAAAATCCTTGGAATTTTCTAGATATGGAAGTGATAAAAGAAGATAAAAAAAGAATGACAAGTGTTTAAGTCCTTTTCAATTGAAATCGATACGGGTTACGTTTCTTCAATAAGAACACGCAACTCGACACGAGATAATATAATATACAAGTATTACAAGTAAAAAATTTCGTCGAAAGTTATTTTGTCATTTATTGTTCCGAGTACGCAAGCGGCGTTCGCAATCTGTATTTCCAGGGAGATTCTCTGTTATAAAAAGCTGCCTGCTCTGGGTTCCTCAGTGCATATACTTAGGTTCTTACAAAGCTTGCTCAAAAAAACTTCTGTGCTGGGGCCGGCCGCGCCCTGAATTTCAAAGCTAGCGGTTGAAAAAGATATCCTTCATCTACAAGATCTTTATACTTGTCACTTTTTCGCTCTTCCGCTTCAGCGGCAGCCGTAGCAGGATTACAAACAGACCCGGCATTAATCCTACAAGGAGCTAAGGAGTCTACTACCGTAAAATCCCACAAGGGCTGCTTACCATCAGCCCATGGAACGAGCGTCAAACCATGGAACGAGCGTCAAACCGAGCACAAATACTCAGTTTTTTTTCGTTACGAAAGTTGGAAAAATAACACACAAACAAACGAAAACTAATTTCATAAATTTCTGAACAAAATTTTTTAAAATAAATTTTAAGAAGCTTTTTTCTTGCCAGGTAGATGACAAACATAGCTTTCAAAACTAATTTGTTTGTAAGAAATCAAGTTTCTTAATCTTAAAGGACCTATTTAACAAGTTATCTTCACTTTGTTTGGTCCAAATTGGATAGAAAACAAAAATTTCAAACCAGTATTTCTCGATACTGGGATTTTTTTTGAAACTTTTTAATACGTTCAAATCATGACTGAATAGATTTTAATATGATCTATCACTCAACCCAGTCCGATATTTATAGGTGGTACCTAACAGTAAATCAGTAGGTCATAAATTATTATGCTAACTGAAGTAGCCTAATTGGATAGGACAGGTCATGTAAGCCCGTACACAGCTCAGTTGGATTTCTAGGACTGATTAGTTTGGGCAGCAATGTGGATAGCGTTCGTGATGTTCTTCTAGCACTTTCTTGCTGCTGCGACTCGAGCGAGGTGAAACGGGTTTTCGAGTGTCTCCAGTGGTGCGATTTTAAGGATTGCTGCTGCTTCTTGATTTGTTCCTGTGCCATTCTGCCGGATGACACAGCACAACCTTCCCGCGACATAAAAAAGAGTGACGAAAGGCCTTATGAACAGAAAAGTGTTGCGACGGAGGGTCAGAATGTTCTGGAATTTTTAATTTTAAAATTTCGATTTGAAGGAGAACATTTCTGAGAAATAGAGAAAAGACGGCCATTTTGAATAAAATAGAAAAAATCAGAACAACGATAGAAATTGTGACGAACAGTTGTGTCAGAGACAAGAGATTTACGGAGCCTCTTATCGTGGCAATAACACACGATAAGGACCTTAGTGACGAATATTTGTGGAGACGGAGACTTCAGTGGGGGGAAGAGAAATACCACGGAACCCTCCCGGGACACGAAATATAGGAGATAAGAGTGTTATCTCAAGAAAATCACGGGAGCGGAGGCTTGGTCCCCCAGAGACTGTTATATGTGAAGGGACTGGGTAAACTAACTATAACAGCTGCTGGAATGTCCTAGATATTAATTAAACACCGATATTATTTGATATTTCAGAGCATGAGTAGATAGAAAAAGGAAAGGGTCAATCCATCTCCAATGGATTTAATATAAAACTGTCACACAAAAACATATAAAAATAGGTTGTTCGAGCCGTGTTTTTAATGACAATCACGTAGTCTGAGGATCCGAGACTCAGCTATGTGGTTGTGTTCGCATGCAAACGAAAGCTGATCAAAAGTCGTTTGACTGATGGCCTAAAAATAGTAACTTTTTACTTTGCCCTAGACAGACCAGAAAATCAACTGGCAAGGTCGAGACGGTGAAAAACGAGTGGAATTAAGGTAACTGACGCCTGCCAGTCGTCAATAGGTACTTTTTCTACGCTCCGTCGCTGTGTGATATTTGGGCGAATGTTACATAGACGTTTTTATGGCGCTCCTGGGTGGGCCTGTTAAAGGCATGAAACCATCATGATCAGCAAGCGTTTCAGCGACGTACCCTCCGCTCCGGGCGTATGCCCGAGTTAGAGGCCTTAATGACCGTTTTTGTACTAGGGGGAAGGTGCGTACCCCTCCGTCTAGTACGATTTAGCTTTTTAACTTAGTTAACACCGAAAATTCCGGGGGCCGGAGGGTTAGGTGGGAAGTCATGAACCCGCTTGTCCCGAGGTCCCGGGACCAAAAACAATTAAAAAGAAAGCGTAAAACCAAACAAAAATAGTGTATAACCAAGAAAAAGCCAAAAATAAATTTATTTAAAAACAAAAAGTACAAAAAACAGTAAAAAAAATCCAAAAAAGACCAAAAACAGTAAAAAACATAAAGTGACAGTTTATATGTTATTTCCGGACGAGATGTGATCTGACCTTCCTATTTGTTATTGTTTCAGATTGATTTATATCTTTCTGATAGAAAGATTGTGTGTTTTGGTGAAGGGTTGGATACCCGCCCTCGAGTGTAATTTGAGTGTTTAAGCACGTTAATGGTGATTTTGCCGGTGACCGGAGGGTAGAGTGGCAAGCTGATCAACGTGTTCCACACTCAAAAGGGATATCAAGGACAACATCCGCAACGACTGTTGGGTATCGTTGAAGCAATTTTAGTATCGTTCGGGTACTATTTCTTTAAAACTTAAGTGGTGGGGGGCACGATTGGCGCGGTCCGATTGTACCCTCCATCGATTACAAATTTCCGAGTTAAGGGTCTTAATTCGGATATTTTGGTGCAAAGGAGGGTATAGTACTATTTATTAACGACTATTAATAGATTATTATCCTTACTATATATTACTTATCTCCTATTTAGACCCAAGAAACACCCGTTTTTTTGTCAAAAATTACCAATTTTTGACCAAACTGTAGACCCCCAAATTTTCAGATATCCGAGCTTTTCCGATAGGCAAAAAGCTTTTATATAGAGAGTAGCTACGTAGTTCGATCCCCTTTACTAAAGAAACCGTGTGAGCGAAGACTCAGTAGAAGTCAGAAAAACGAAAATTTTTCGTTCAAAATTTTGATAATTTTCTGTATTTTGTCAATCTGTTTTGGGGATCGCGTTTTTGAGTTTTTAGAGTTAGAGCAATAAAATTTTTTGCGTTAGGAGCGTGCTAGCATAACGTGCTAGGTTACTAGAGAAATTTTTGGGTAACCCTCCGAGTAGCTCCGTGAACAGAGCTAACGACTTAAGGTTTGGAAAAGGAAGGAATCGGAGGGTCCAAATTTGATAGTTTTTGGCCAAATTTTTGTTTCTAAACCAATTTTGGTCCGGTTTTTTGCATTATTCCAGTGCTGTACAGGGCTGCTACGCTCATTTCAAGTATTTTTAGGCACTTTTGACCGGAATTGCGAAAAAAGTCTTTCAGAACCTATATAGGTGGTGAAAAAAGGCCATTTTGACGAACGCGTTTTTGACGATTTCTCAAAGACTAGTTATCCGATCGGGATAATTTTGGTCCCATAAGTCGACGTTTTTGACCACTTTTCCGAATCGCAACCGCTTTGGGTTGATTAATTCGGAAAAGAAAAAATTTTTTAGAATTTGTTGGTTCGGAGGGTCCAAATAACGGGCAACCCTCCGAGCGGCAGAAAATTTTATCAAAACATCTTTTTATTCAACTGGGAAGGTTGACCGTGTCAGCCAACCTAGTTTTAAGTTAGGTAGACCGCTTTCAGAGGCTTTATTGCGGTGATATAACCCTTTTTCTTGATTTTGGAGGTACCCTCCGAAGTGACCCTCCGGAGCGTATTAAGCATCTTATTGACCCTCCTTAGTAAGTTTAGGGGGACCCTCCGAAGTAACTTGGGTGATTAAGATACCCTCCTAAGTAACTTGAGTGATTGAGGTACCCTCCGAGGTAACCCTCCGGAGTGTCTTAAACCTTTTAGTGACCCTCCTTGTAGGAGACTTGGGTAAACCTTCTGTGGCAATTTGGGAAACGGAAAATATCCATTTAATTAGGATCATATTAGGATATTAGGCGTGCTTATCAGGACCATAAGAACCCATTCTGACCCGGAAATTCGTGATCAACTTTGGATTCTATATTGGGTGTGTTAGAAGTACC